CAATACAAATATTAAAAACATTAAACATTTAAGAAACAAAACAGTTAAAACACAACTACATATCACATTGTCATTTTTTGGACCAGTCTATTCACCTATGCACAAGGAGGTGGAAATTCAGTGTGTACCTCAAGCTTAAAGTGTCTTGTCAGCTATCATATTACTAGATGTCAGCCAGAAAACTAAAGCTGTGTTCAGTTCATGTGTAAAGTTACATTAAATTGAAAATTATGTTATGTTAATTTAAGACAATTAAATTCTGTTGTTAATAAATATATATAGAATTTATTTATTTTTTTGTGATTATTTCTTTAAAAGTTATTTTAATTATTGTTATTACTCTTAAGAATTTTATTTCCTGGAAAAATGCAACAATTGCAATAATAATGATTAAGTTACTACTTCAATTGGATGGTCAGAAGAGTTTTAATAGACAATATTATACTATTCAGAATATTCCAGTTCGTTGACTTGATTATTTTTTGTTTCCAACTGCAGTAGAAAGGAATAAATTTCACTAAGGTGTTGTATATCTGATTTTGTGTTGATTATATTATCTGTTGTTGCTATGTGGGTCATTTCTAAAAAAAGTCTTCTCTTATAAGCTGTTTCTTTTTCGAGGATTTTGACATCTGCAAAATTCATTCTGTGGTTCTGGGTGTGAACGTGGTTGGCTAGGGTGCATCTATCTGGGTAAAGTTTACAGTCACTTTTGTGAGTGGTAACACGGTCTTTAAGACGTCTAGATGTTTGGCCGATATACTTGCCATTGCAGTCCATACAAGAAATACTGTAAACAACATTAGATATTTGGTCATGCGGAGTTCGATCTTTCATTTTTGAGAAAATTGAGTTTACTGTTAAAACTGTTTTATTGGCTATTTTGATGTTATCATATGATTTAAAGATTCTAGTTAGTTTTGGTGTTAGTTCCCGTATGTAGGGCAGCACACAATATGTTGGAAGGGTTTGATTGGTAACCGTGTTCTGTGAATTTGTACTTGCTATGTTAGAATGTTGGGAGGTAGTAAGATTGATAGATGTTACTGATGTAGTATTATATAAAAGTGTTTTTAAAAGAAGCGGTGGATAGGAATTATCTATAAAGAGATCATAAAGTATTTTGAGATTCTTTTGATGGAATGATTTATCTGAAATTTGTAGAACCCTATTTTTCATTTGTTTTACTAAGTTTAGTTTGGTGGAGTGTTTATGATAGGACATGTAGTTAATGTACCTGCCTGAACTCATTGATTTTGTGTGCCAATCGACTATAATGATGTTATCATTTGAGCGGATTAACTTAGTGTCTAAGAAAGGAATAGATTGATTTTCATCTTCGACTTCCATGGTGAATTGTATGTACGGATCGTAGCTATTGAATATAAATAGTAGTTCATCTATCATATTGTTGGGTACAGCTAAGATCATGTCATCTACATATTTCTTTAAAAAGAAAAGGTTGAAAGGTAGTACTGGAATGATTGTGTCTAACAGGTCATCCATTACATATGCAGCAAGAATGGGGCTAATTTTTGCTCCCATTGGTGTTCCAAAAGTTTGCTTGTAATATGTGTTGTCAAAAGAAAAATAGGTATTATTTTTTTTTTCTTTTGACAACACATATTACAAGCAAACTTTTGGAACACCAAGTGTTTCACTATGTGTTTCACTACATCTTATGTAAAATACACAATTTCACCATTTTGTAACATATTGTAGCATTCGTCTGAAGATGTTAAAGAAATTTAACGAAATATAACGAAATCGTTGAAAAGAGCACACTTTGGCTTTTATTATTCAGCTGCTAACCCAATTAACCTTATCATTATACTAATATATATATATATATATATATATATATATATATATATATATATATATATATATATATATATATATATATATATATATATATATATGGAGAGAGAGAGAGAGAGAGAGAGAAGAATCTAGGAAAATACCAGGAAGGATCTCGGAAAGGAAGATCAACAACCGACCAAATTTTTAATGCTAAAATAAATCCTGATCAATTGCTATGAATACAACATTTCAGCACAAGTACTTTTCATTGATTACAAAGCTACCTACGATACAATAGACAGAAACAAGTTAATAGAAACACTAAAAGAATTTCAAGTGCCAGAAAAAATAATAAGATTGGTAAAAATGACAATAAGACAAACCATTTGTGATGTGAGATGTAACGATACAGTCTCAGAAGAATTCGAAGTGAAAAAAGGTGTTCGCCAAGGAGACCCGTTGTCTACATTGCTATTCAATATAGTTCTAGAAAAAATTGTACGGGTTAGTGGGATAAATAGGTCCGGAACTATTTTATACAAGGAGCATCAATGCTTAGCTAGCATACGCTGATGATGTGGTTCTCATTGCAAGAAGTGGAAAAGAACTATCAAATATAACAAAAAGACTGAATCGGGAAAGCTCTAAAATGGGACTGAAAGTTAATATTAATAAATCGAAGTACATGGAGATCTTCAGCAAAAAGGAATAAACACCAGGGGATCCTTGGATCCTTTAAATTGGAGGTAGAGGATGGATCAGTTGTAGAATTCGAGAAGGTGGATTAATATATGTACTTAGGTACTCTTATTGATCAGACATGTAAGGAAAAAACTGAAATCAACCTGAGACTGACCAAGAGCAATAGGTGTGCTGGAGCCATAAGCAAAATAATTAGGGCCAAATATATATATTGTAATACAAAAATAAGAGTGTACAAAACAATAATTAGACCCACAATGCTATACGCTGCCGAGACATGGACTATGAACAAAACCATACAAAATACATTGGAAGCATGGGAAAGAAAGATACTTTGCAGAATATTTGGTGGAAAATTAGTAGAGGGAGAATGAAGAAGACGAACTAATGCAGAAGTGTATCATTTGTATGCTAACCCTACAATAACAAAAATAGTGAAAAAACGTAGAGTAGAATGGCTCCGTGATCTAGAAAGAATGCAAGGTGAGAGACTAGTCAAGAATATTGCTTGGAGAGTACCTGAGAGCAAGAAAAAAGAGAGGAAGACCAAGAAAGAAATGGAGAGATATAGTAATGAAAGATGTCAGAGAGATGGACATCAGAAATTGGAAGCGGTTAGCTGAGAATAGAAAACGATGAAAATTATCCATCCAGCAATGGGCCTAAAAGGCCTGTTAACGCTGTACATACATACATACATGGCATACTCAGCAATAACCCAGACTGTGGCGTAAATCCATTATCATAACAATAAAAAAATCTGCTCTAGCCTCGTACCTAACACAATCATACCGACCTATCTCTCTAACCTGTTTATTATGTAAACTGTTTGAGAAAATGATTAATTCAAGATTAATATTTTTTCTTGATAAATATGCAGTAATTGAGGCAGCGCAATCTGGTTTCAGATGTAACAATTTAACCCGTGACAATTTAGTGCTATCACAAACACAAATAGCTTTCTCTATTTCAAATAAACAACATCTAATTGCTGCTGCCTTTGGTATAGAAGGTGTTTTGGATACTATCTCGCCTCAAGCTATTTTTGAAAAGCTTCGTCAATACAACATAACAGAAAATATTTACTCCTTAATAAAAACTTTTTACAATAAGAAACGTTCATAGTAAAAACAAATGGAAAAATATCGGCGACATTCGGGCAAAATAATAGAGTCCCAAAAAATTCAGTACTTAGTAGAACACTGTTCATTCTGGCAAGCACTTAATATACGCAGATGACCTTATTTTATATTGTCAGTGAAAACGTACAATTGCCACATGCAGCGTGCTCCAGACCACTGTAAATCAAACTACCGGATTAGCTCTTTCAGTCACTAAATTGAAATTAATATGGCTTAGTACAGTAGGCTAACTTGGGAACAACATATTAATGTGATAAAGGGCAATGCAATAAAAAGACTCAATATCATGAAGGCACTATCAAAATACACATGGGGTGTGGACGAAACCATCTTATTTAATATATATATATAGAGCTTTATTCTCTTAAAACTGGACTACTGCAGCTTCATATACATATCTGAAACACGTCTGTAATACTTCTATTCGTCTTTGTTTAGGCGCTATAAAATCTAGTTTCATAGACAGCTTTCACTGCGAGGCTAATAAACCACCTCTCTGGATTTGACGAGAGTATTTTCTTCAGTATTACTTTTCTTCCGTATCCGCAAATCCATCCAATCTAGTCTACCATTTAACTACCTTAACATCGCCTCGGGAGACCCCGCAAACCATCCAATAAATAATGTCTTTTCAAAACGTTGGTTACCATTATAGCTATCTTAATTTTATTCAGTGCCACCCTAAATAGCATGCTTGTGTCAACACCATAACAATCTCGCACGTTCTTCAACCATGAGATTCTTCTTCGTCCTGGACTGCATTTGCCTGTTATTTTTTTTTTTAAGCTTCTAAAAAACTAAAAACAGATGATAAAAACCAAGCAATATGCACAGACTCCCCGTCGTCACTTTTTTTCTTTCAGTGTCCTGTCGGATTATCGAACGTTGGCGATCACTTTTTCACGAAATTTGTTATAACTCTGGTTTTTACAATCAAATTACAGCTTATAATACGCCATTTTGTTTATTTGTTCAAAAGGGACAACTTTCATTTTCATGAAGTTTAATATCTGTAATAGTTTAGAGACGGATTTTTAGCCTAAAACGCACGCAAAAATCTAATAGACGTCAAACGTAAAACATTAAAAAACGTCAAGCTACTGGGGGGACCTAGAAGTGTATACTTAACATCTCCCTGGCTTCTAAAATATATGCATCAATTACAAATAATAATTTTGTGCCATATATATTGAATAATTTAATCACGTTTGGTTTATAAAAATGGGTTTATTGTTTTTAAAAATAGTCACTTAATATGTTGAAATTAAGCGCAACAACAGGGTTAAATACTGCTTCGACCAATCGTAATTTTTATAAAATATTTTATTTCAGTAATGTTACATTCTAACTTACCGACATGCTACAGCTTTACTATGAGGAATCTCGACTTTATCTACTCCTTCCGCAGCTTGTTCAATACATTGAATATATGTATTTCCTACTCTACTTCTCTCCACTTTTTTGTAACAGTCTCTTACCTCATTAGCTAAAAATATAAATTTTTTATAAATTATAAAATAAAAAGGGATATTCTAAATATAGTTAAATAGACCAGAGAACTAACGATTTTCCCGTAATTTCCGTATTTTGGTGGCTCATAGCATGTATACCTCGTAAGTATTAACCACATTTGCTTTAACCTTAGTCAACATTTTAAATTCAACGTTATTTTTAATTAAAGTGGTTATTTACTTTCACGTTTACACTGATGATGGATTTAACAATCCAATGATTGTTAAATTTTAGGTTTAATTTAACAATCCATAATAATTAAATTTGGAATAGTTTCCAAAGATGGTGCATAAAGTGGAAAATTGCACTAAATCCTTACAACACACAGGCCGTTATGTACAGACACAGAATAAGGAGACCAGACAGGGAAATCACTATAGGAAACACCCCTGTAGAATGGACGAACGAGGTCAAATACCCCAGAGTCATTTTAGACAGAAAGCTCACTTTCACGAAACACGTAAAACAAACTGTCTACAAAGCAAAAGCACTAAGAAGTCAACTCTCTTCGCTAATCGGCAGAAAGAGCAAACTTCGCTTTAAGACAAAAATGAGGGTAGCTAATAGTATAATACTACCCTCCCTAACATATGCATCTGCCTCATGGGGACACACATGTAAAACGAATAGGAAGAAAATCCAAACAACACAAAACTGGATAATCAGAGAAGCACTGAACCTACCTCAATACGTTCCACTGAGGTATTTATTCAGGGACTCTGGACAGAAAAGAATCCTAAGGACAATGGACGAAAGAGCAAACACCATTTTCAATGGTCTCGTAAATCATCCAAGCAGGACATTAAGAGAGTTGACAAACTACGACATAAACACTAGAACGGTACATAAACAGCCAAAGCAACAACTTATTGGATATAGAGAAGAAGGATAAATGAAGAAGAGCCGATTACAGAGTATATTAGACAGTGAGCACCAAAAAAATATAGTATATAAGAACAATATACACCGGGGTGTGTGCAGGCACTATACACCCGGGAATGCACACCCCACCACACGCACTCTTAGGTTATATTAGGTTTAGATTAGAATAGGGAAAACAAAAACCACAAAAAACATATATAATTAATGTCATGTCATCTTCAAGATAAACAAGAACACCCGTTACATCACAAAAATTTATATAACACAAATAAGAATGTATAAAAGGCCCGTCAGGCACTCTATACCAGCCAGCAGGCATAGGCCCTTCAGGCAGATCAAATATTGATCAAACGCGGACTCTGAGCATCGAGGTCATGTGCGGCAAGCATGGGCTCGGTGACCAGGACTCACTTCTCGAACACCCAGCCGGCGAGAAGAACAAAATTTTTATTTTGTCAAATCGGCGACTGAGTGAACGAGCACAAGCATTGTTTTCCAGACAGAGAGCTGTCGGTCTAGACCGATGGCTCTCTGTCTGGAACACACGCTCTTTTTTTTGGGGGACATGAGTCCCGAAGCAAAGCTAGAGTAACTTCTATAGAGTCAGTAAAGTTAAATAGGGAGAAAAGCTAACATGTGTGCTACCCCTACAGTTAGGTGGCCTAACCACAGTCATTAAAAACAGAAGGTGTCTCATTACCCAAGACAACTTACGTAACATTCAGATCATAAGCCTCCTCACGTAAGTCTCGCGCTGAGGAGGGGTGGAGGAAAAGCCTGGGGATCAGATAGGTACCACCTCAACTAGTGAGGTGCAACCGGTTTGATTTTCGGACATGTGGATCCCACTCTTACAGTGGTATACACATGTCACTAGGGGTAGGGTTGATCGCCTCGCGTGATTGTGTGTGTGTGCTTATTTAAAAAGTCATTTACATCCAGATGTTAAATAGGCAAGGCCGCTCCTGTATTCTTCTACCACACATTCCTCTGCGCATAAATCTTCCTCACTACAAATTTAGTACTAGAACTGACGTCATTGTTGATGTGTGTTACTAAGTGGTGCATGAAGTACGCTATGTAAGTAACAATAATGTTTTGGTTATCGCCGTTATCGGAGCAAATGATTAAGTTAAAGTATAGTTTATTATGCTGTACTTATTTATTTTAGGTCTAACGTACCATAAACTTATATGAAAACACTTACTAACGATAAGTTAGAGGAGATAAGGAGAAAAACAATAGAAGAATCTGATGATGAAGACATGGGTGTTATTGATCCGATGCGTCCAACACACACACACATACACACACACACACACACACACACACACACACACACACACACACACACACACACGAGTTCATCCCAACCCCTAGGAAAATAAGTGTACCACTGCTATACAGTGCGACCCACATGTCGGAAGATCAAACCGGTCTCGTTCCAAAATAGCGTGTCATTTTGGCTCGGTAACTATCTGACCCCTAGGTTTTTTCCACCACCCTTCCCTTATGTTTGATATACGTAAGGGAGGCGACATACGCAAGGGAATCGGGCAGTTTGGGAAAAGAAACACCCTCCGTTTTACATGGTTGTGATGATGACACCTTGCTTTAGGGGTAGCTTTTCAGCTTTTTTCCCTATTTACTTTACTTAATTTACTTTGTTAAAGTAATGACTTCTAGACTGAGGTCCCTATAGTGTATCTCCCAAAACGGAGATCCACCAACCTGGGTTGAAGTCTCTCCGCCTGAGCATTGTGTGCTCAGAGACTCAGCTGCCGATTTGGCAAACGATTTTGGTCTCCTCGATAGCTAGACATCCGAATGGTCTGGCTATCGAGCCCATGTATGCCGCACATGGTCTCAATGCTCAGATTTTGCGAATAGGCCGCCCAATCGGCGTGTCTTAAGGGCCTAGTAGCCTTAGTAACTGTATAAAAGTGCCTGACGGGCCTTTTATACCAGTGTTTAGTGAGTGTGGGTGTGAGCCAGATCAGTTCTCTCTCGATAAAATAGAAAATCATCGCGGTAGTAGATTTTAACTAAAACTAGTATATGTTTTTTTGGTCAGCTCGATCCGACATTTAATCCTCTAAAATCAGTTAAACGCCTTAGCCAGCTCTTTTTTTCTACTTCGCGTGTTTTGACAGCTTCAGAGATATCTCGATCTACTGACTATATTTTATGGGGCGAACCTATATTCAGTTATTTGGTGTTTTGGCCGTCTATGTACCATTCTTACGTTTTCGTCATATTCTGTTAGCTCTTTTAGATTTCTGTTGGTGTGGTTCCTTATTCCATTAAAGGTTTTGTAGGCTTCTTCATCGATTGCCCGCAGTATTTTTTCCTGCATGGTGCCCTGATAAATATTATGAATATTATGAATGTATTAAATACAGTGACTATTATTCCACTTCAGAGCAGGAAGGTGATAAAGAAGTATTTTAAAGAGTATTTCAAAAATACCTACGTTTATAAGTCGCGACGGAAATATGGTGTGAAATAAATATCCTATTGTAAATCAATTTGTTAAAACTCACTTAAAAAATCTTTGACAATTTTTCTGCGACCTACAGTCGATAGAAAAAGTGTTTGAGTTAAGTGCATTTTTTCAATATTTTACCAAAGAAATAAAAAAATATTTTACACACGTCACAAAAATTTACAACAATTCAAGGAGGGTACACAAGGGACAGACATGCAAAATTATTAACGTCAGAGGAAATCCTTGCACTTTTTGAAATCCTCTTTCTTCTTGGTATAAAAAACTTAAGCCATACTGATTTTAAAGAGATGTGGGAATCCAAACATTTCCGGCATACATTCTGTTCCGGCTAAACGTTATCTGTTCCTCTGTAAAGAACTTAAGTTTGATGACAAAACAAGTCGTGAAGAACGGAATCAAACAGATAAAATAGGGGCACTGCCAGAAAATCAGACAAATTCACAGACAACTTTCGGAAAAATTTCTTCCAAGGTGAACGTATTCCAATCGACGAAATATCATACCACTTCGTGGTCGTTCTAGTTTTATACAATATTTAAGTAACAGGACCAACAAATATGGGATAAAAGTATCTGCATTCTGTGATTTAAAGATTTTTTTAAGTCTCAAAGTTAGATATTAACTATGGCAAGCATTCCAAAGAAAGATACAATCTACCAAACACTGCAACAGATATTGTACTCAGATTGGTCAAGCCTTTCAAAAATGTCAAAAGAAACTTGACCAAAGAAATTGGTACACCAGTTATATTTGTCTTTACAGATTCATAATCGAAAAATTACTGTGGCTAGTAGTTAAAAAAATCATAATGAGAAATCCTATCAAAATTCGAACCAAACAAAACTAGACTATACTGATATCATTTGGCTCTACAAGTATATGTGAGTCTTGGCCGCGTTTACTATTTACCTGCATTGTTGTCGGTCCTGAGCAGCTATTTTCCATTGCTCTATTCCCATTTTGCGTCATTTTGCGTAGATCACTGGCTACTGCGTCCTTCCATCTCTTTCTTGGGCGACCAACTGATCTTCTGCCATCAGGTCTTTCCCAGAATGTGGCATTCAGGAGTCTTTCGTCTCTCGATCTTATTACGTAGCCCGCTTGTCTTATTTGGTTTATTTTCTACACAGTACTCTGATTATTCTGTAGATGAGAAGTTAGACAAACCAGACATTGTACTATTCTACAATGAAACTAAAAGGTAAATATATCTAGTCGACTAAAAGTGTAGCAATTTCACAGTCCAAAGACCAACTAGATGGCAGCCATTGTTGTATATCATCCATCACTTTATAAATATTGCAGGAGTAAATTCTTCTTCTTCTTCTTCTAGTTCCTATCCGTTTCGTATGTTGGAAATCATATTGGCAATCATAACCTTGCTCGCTGCGGCTCGAAACAGCTCCGTTGAGGTTTTCTTAAACCATGTTCTTAAATTCCGCAGCCATGATATTCTCCTTCTACCGGGTCCTCGCTTACCTTTGACTTTACCTTGCAATATAGACTGTAGCAGGGAGTAACGGTGCTGATTTCTCATAACGTGTCCCAGATATTGCAATTTTATGCGTTTGATCGTAAACACA